CCCCGCCGCCGTGCCCCTCCCCACCCCGGCGGCCGGCGAGCGCGGGGCCGGGAGGCGCCGTGCCCGGCCCTTTGGGCGGGCTTCCTTCCTCCGCGAGCTCTGACTCGGACTCGTCCGGTGCAAGGGACGGTGCCTGAGCCAGCCCGTCTAGATCTCCGCCTGTCTTTCCGTCGCAGGCCGCGAGCGCATCCCCGGGCCCTCCTGCCCCGGCATCCCTCCTTCCGTGCACGACGGGGCTGACCTTTGGTGGCGGCGCTTTAGCGTCCTTTCCAGCACTGGGAAGCGGAGTCCATCCTCTCCCGGCGCCAAGGACCCCTGCTTCCGGGCCCAGTCCTGCAGCCTTGGCTCGCATCAGTAATCCTGCTCGTGTCCACTGCTTGCATCGGACCCGAGGCCCTGGCCCGCGCCTTACGCAACGGAGAAACCGTGAGCGCCAAATCCGAGCCATGCACGTTTGGATGCACAGTGGAATTAGCTGCAAAGTCCCGTTGTTTCGAGTATCCAGGTTGTAGCCGTATTGGTCTAAAGGAAGAAGGAATCGGGACGTGTGGGAGAGGTGGTATCTTTTATTGAGCCAGCTAGACTTTGGCACACAAAAAAAAAAAAGCAATTAATTTTTTTTGCAAAAATCTAGTTGGCCCACCCAATAAAAGACATCACCTCCACGAGTCCCGATGCCATTGTTTCGAGGCACTTGCAATTCTGCTCTACAAAGAACACGTTCAGGAGGGAAAATTCTGTGGCAACTATGAGAGAAACTGTCCAACTTAACCAGTTTTTTTCCCCCTATCCATATTTTGTGCGTGGATGCTGGGTCTTGCTAGAGGTCCTGCAAGCTCAGCCCGGAAAGGGGTCTTCTAAAAACATGATCTGCTCTGAAGGTTTCTCATGTATGAGCGCCCCCCAAATCTTCTTTGGATGCCCCAAAGGCAGAGTCCTAACAGAGGTCCCCCCATGGTGGTGTTTGGCTCTCTTCATCTACCAGGTTGCCGCACCGACTCTTCCCTCGCCAGAAATAGGGCCACAGAGCCCATCTGCCCGCAGCTTTAGGTGCATTGCCGCTCTGTCCCTTCCACCTGTGCAGGTGCTTTGCGGGTTGTTATGATGATCCATGCGACTCTGGAAAGCAAACTTTGTAAGGATTTTCAGATGCAATTACTCTTGATTTTAGCAAGCATAAGAGAGAGACAAATCTTGACCAAATAATATGCACGACTTTATTCCTGCCATCTGAGCACTGTTTGGGCCAAGGTCAGAGCCCTCTAAGGCAGTGTTTCCCAACCGTTTCCAGCCCAAGGCACGCTACTATGAGTAAGAATTTCCTGCGGCACACCTGTGAAGGCATTCCCCATCCCCGTACTTATTGGTGAAACGTTGACAGAGATTTCTGGAAAATGGTTTGAACGTTCCTCCTCTTATTTTGTAAGTATTAATGTAATGATGCATTGCATTGTCAAGACAGCAGTTACATTTTACAAGCATTCTTGGCCTCCGTTTCATCTCTCACCTCTCCCGAGTTAACATTTCGTTGCAAAAATGTTTTAGTTCAGAAAGGCACGAGCTTCCAAAGGGCAGACCAGGTACAAGGCTTTACACACTGCCCCGCTGTCCTGTAGTTCTCAAAACCCTCCTGCTTCGTTTGTCAGGGGTTTCAAAGACCCTTTTACAATTCCACGTGGTGGTAGGTATGAGTCCAGAATTCAACAGTCGTTTACCTCTTGTTATCAGCAGAGGCAAGGCAAATAATCATTTGGATTTCAAACATCCAACAGCAAAGAGAGAGCCAGTGCATCTCGGAAACAAAAGCTCGGCTGAGGTCTGAAGAAAACCCTGTGCAGAGATGTCTCATTAAACCTTTCAAAGGACCTTCCCAGAGCTCACTGGTGAGAGACTGGACATGTGCCAACACCTCAAATTAGACACAAAAAGTCCCTCAGAGGGAATTTCAAGAGCAGAAGAAACATGAGCGTGCATGATGCTTTCCTCCATGCTGAAGATGGACAATAACATGAGGGATTTAATTTCACGAGTTTCCATGCAATTATTGCAAGAAACTTATACGTACGCGTATAAAAAGTATATTTTAGTGTGCCCTAGATACCCGGATACAACGCAGTGTAATAAATGTACAAAAACTACATCTAAGGAACAGCAGGGAGGTTCAACGTCGTGCAGTCAAAGTGAGGAAATGTCAGAATTAAGACCGCCTGTAGAACTATAATGTGGCTCCCTTGTGAGTATTCATTATGGTATGGTCTTGAATTACATTACCACCTACTGTTTTTCCCTGGGACTCCTGCTTCCTTCAGTGCAGAGGTTAGACAGGGCTCACTTAATGAGCCCCTATTCAGTATTTTGTTTTATGCTCATTGTAGGTGTGCGGCCTAGGCCTGCCTTAGTGGACAGCAACACAGTGCAAACCTGCCCCTGAGTACACAATTATGAACTGCCTCACCATTGTTTCTGTAGGACTCGTCACCATGGCACAGGAGTGTTTCACAACCCATTTTTCTGCACAACACCACTGGAACAGGCACAGGGATATGAGCATCTCCATTTTTCAGATGGGGCAGGGAAAGTCAGTAACAAAGAATAAGGTCAAAGATATCTGCTAGTTTTGGGTGCTCAGTCTGAGATGTACACGATCAGGTATTTCACACTCCTGGAGGGGAGTGTTCCTCTGACTGTTCCCCCAAGCACAACGCTTCTTTCCCCAAGAAATCTAACCTGTCTTTGTCCCAGTCCAATCTTGTTGCCTACTCAGTTGCAGTCCTCTCTCACCACCCTGTCCTCCTTATACCAGTATCATTCCTACAATGATCCTATTAATTCCTACATCTGAGCTCAGTCATCCTCCCACCCCATCACAGACTCCCAGTTCAGGTGTCCTTGACCAGCCAGTCCTCGTCTTCCCTCAACTCGGTCTTGTGACTTGGTCTCTCTTCCTATACACGTTATCCCCAGTTTTCTTGTCCGATCAGTCCTAGTCTCGTCGTCCCATGGTTCCTTATCCAATCTCAGTCTTCAGCCTCCTGGGTCTCTGAGCTCTCCCCTCTCATTTTTTTCTTTCCAAGTCTCTGTCCAATGCCTGGCTTCCCCCCACCCAACACTCCCAGTTCTCAGTCCACCTCCATTCAACGGATTCTTTTCTCCCCCCACCCATCTCTCATCTATTTCTGAACTTTCCGCGACATTACTTTTTTCACATCTCTGAAAAGAGTATATGGAAAAAATCTAGCTCAGCAAAAATAAATCCGGGGTCCTAACATTTTCATGATATTGGAATGCCCTGGCTGCAGAAAGACATAGAGACTCTACTGTATGCAGAGATTACTATTGCCTACAGTGGAAAAATATACCAATCTGTATTGAGACACTTCAGAGCTGGGTAGGAGAGAGAGTTGGTGATGTGAGAAAAGTGATGAATCTGTTTTTGTTCTGCAAGCAAAAGAACCACAATTATCTTTCTTACTAAGCGATCCCTCTAGGTTGCAAAGACAATAAATAAATACATAAATAAAATAATTGTCCAAAAGTGGCAGAAAGCCAACAATTACAGTAAGGAAGCAAGGGACTGCAGCATACATTAATACTCCCTCTTAGGACTTGCAGGATATTAGAGAAGTAGCATTGATTAAATAATCCTCACAGCACTCTGATGGAGTACTTATAGAAATATTAACAATCTGAGACAAAGAGTAGTTAGGTCTTATGTTTTCAAGTGTCCACTAATACTGAATGTTTCATTTTAAAGTTGACAAAGACCCAATTCTCCAGCTGTGATACTGGCAACAGATGGATGCACCCCCACAGTTAGGGATTGTGTTTGACATTTTTGCCTTAGGTGACTTACCCAAAGCCAAATGAAAAATCAGACTCAAATCCAGGTTTCAAAAGCAGTTCTTAATGCTCAGCCATGACAGACAATCCAGTAGGCCACAGAGCCGGTGACATTACACTTAGCATCACTGGTCATAAAGAGCATGCCTGCATAAATCTGCAATCTGACTCCCCAGCCCAGCCCCTGGCTTCTTGACTTTTCATCCCATCCAGGAAGAGCACACACCAACTGCTGAAACTTCCTTAGCCTGACGAAGGGTTTTTGAACCCGAAAGCTTGCCTAATAACTATTCTCCAACTATTTGGGTTGGTCTAATAAAAGATATCAAATTCAGCCAAGGAACCTTGTCTGCCTATGTCCTTAGACCAACACAGCTACAACCTACACCCCTAAATCTGCATCTGGCACTAATTGTCATTTTGTGCAACTTGGATACTCAAAGTCAGGAACAAGAAGTGGGACAAAAGAAAATCCGAGCAACAAAGTGTAGGAGTGCAGGGGAATGAAACAAATATATTCAAATAAAAAACAACATAAACAGGGGACCAGCAAGTGCCACCTGCAATCTTGAACCTTCTCCCTTGCACGTGTTTAATCTGGTGTGCAAAACTGGGAAATGTCAGAGATTCAAATGACATTTATGAACCAAATAGCTTGAGGGACTTGGAAAGCCTTTAATATCAGGGATGTTGGTTCATCCATAATCTGCACAACAAGCAGGTTCTGATCCCGCACTCATTACAGCTCATGAAAATGGCAGGTTCTCAACACCTCTGCCTCAGTATGCTGTTACCTTTCCTTCTTAACTTACTCTGCCTGAGCTAAAATCTTTCCTTAATAGATCATTCTGGAAGGCAGCCTTGTCTTTGAAATTACTCTCTGCTTTCTGTTTTCAGTGACCAACTAACATTTTCCTGGCATCACATTCCTAGAACTGCCACATACTGGAGCTGCTGCAAGGATTCTTCTTTTTAATAGGCAGCATCCACCATGTTTTAGGAAAGCAGCCGCTGGACTCAAACACTCATGCATAGGAGCGCTTTTTTCGGGGTGCTCAGCAATGCATGCCGTGGACCTGACACACAGGTGAGGGCAGCAGGCATCAGTCTGGCATGCTACCATATCGTTATGCTATCAATTTTTCTATTTCAATCAATCTGTCAGGTATCCAGGTTATAGTCGTATTGGTCTAGAGGAAAAAGCAGTCAGGGCTCCCAGTAGAAGTGCTCTCTCTTATGAGACCAACAAGATTTTTGCAAAAAAAAAAAAAAAGTCTTTCAGTCTTCGGACGAAGCCATCAGAAAAGCCAATGGCACTGTATCGTGCATCAGCAGATGCATGATGAATAGATCCAAAGAGGGGATACTTCCCCTCTATCGGGCGCTGGTCAGACCGCAGTTGGAGTACTGCGTGCAATTCTGGGCACCGCACTTCAAGAGGGATGTGGATAACCTAGAGAGGGTCCAGAGAAGGGCCACTCGTATGGTTAAGGGCTTGCAGACCAAGCCCTACGAGGAGAGACGGGGGCACCTGTACCTTTTCAGCCTCCGCAAGAGAAGGTTGAGAGGTGCCCTTGTGGCTGCCTATAAGTTCATCACGGGGGCACAGAAGGGAATTGGTGAGGCTTTCCTCACCCAGGGGCCCCCGGGGGTTACAAGAAATCATGGCCACAAGCTAGCAGAGAGCAGATTTAGACTGGACATTAGGAAGAACTTCTTCACAGTTAGAGTGGCCAAGGTCTGGAAGGGGCTCCCGAGGGAGGTGGTGCTCTCCCCTACCCTGGGGGTCTTCAAGAGGAGGTTAGATATGCATCTAGCTGGGGTCATCTAGACCCAGCGCTCTTTCCTGCCTATGCAGGGGATCGAACTCAATGACATATTGAGGTCCCTTCCGACCCTAACATCTATGAATCTGGAACGTGCCAGCAGAAGGAGCATATCAAGAAAAGACAGAGAAAAGGAATGCGTTAGAAAATTTCTCTGTTGTTTCCCCCATTCTGGATCCAAGAAAGTGGGGCAAAATTAGACTTACCACTATGTTGCCCTGGTAGGCTGAACAGAGTAATAACACATACCTATGCCACAGGACATTGTAAGGATTAGTCAAGGTCTCACACAACAAAGTCCTGGTCTGTAACAAGGGATCTAAGGCATTAATGGATCATAAATAATAATAATTTTAAAAGCTGTGTGCATCGTATACCAGGAATAAAGCATGCCTGATTAATATTGGGGCCTAAAATAGTCTCCTTCTTCACCTTCATTCCCCAGAGCAAATGAAAATGCTGGGTTTTGTTTTTTTCTTTTGAAATCATCTTTCTGCCAAACATTTAAGAACTATCACAAACATTTCAGAGCTCGGGCATCAATTTCCTACTCGGTATCTTTAAAGAGGAAATGGGAACTCGCCTTGGGGATGCAATGCTCCTGTCCAGCATCCTTTTAGGGTGTGACTTTTCATTATCATTTACAGCTCTGGAAGGTTTCCAGCATGACTTGAAATGGTTGTCTCAATAGAGGACAACCGCACGTTGTAAGGAACGTGTTTTCTTGACTGATGGCATAATGCTTTGTTTTACCTGGATTTGCATGCAGACAAGAGCTAAACCTGACAGGAATATTCATTACAATAGTATCCCTTTGTTATGCTGTTTTTGGAAGCCAAAAGTATGTGTGTGCCTGAGACAGAGTATACTTTAGAACTTCAAATATGTTAAATGTGTTTCCAATCTGCAAAGAGGAAACAAATTGGGGGGGGGGCAGGGATTAGGTCCCGAGCAGCTTCTGTTTACATCTTATTTTCTAAATATTAGGATTTGATATGCTAGGCATGCATTTGAAAAGTGAAGTTATTTTGCTGAGAAGGAAGCTCATAGTTTCTACCTTTCTGCACATACTTTGCAAATTTCTTTTTTTCCATCTGGTCCTGTCTCTTTAATGATGTTGAAAATCAAATCAAGTGTCTGTATGACTTTGGTTTAATTCCTATCTAAGAAAGCAGTTTGCAGCTAAACAATTATCCTTAAACAGTTTTCATCAAACAATGCCCTCTGGTACAAGACATCCTTTCTGTGCTGAGAAAATTATTTTTCTGCA